AGGGAAGGCAGACTTGCAAAGAGCAAATGTACACAAGGCCGTGTGGTATAAACAGTTTCTGTGTACCTGCCTCTTGGATGTGAGTAGCTGTGGTCGGAAGGAAAAAAAAGTATTTTTAGCAACTAGGGTAAGATGTGTTGGTCTCTCGAGGGGTCTGCCACGCTAAGTGGGTAAACATCTCACCTTAACAAGTTGGGACTGAGAGGCATACCTGCGGCTTAGGATGTGGTCAGGACAGTTTCCGCCGCAAGGTCGACTGCTGGTGACAGAAATCCATGAATGAAGGTGTGTAAGAGCGAGGAACCGGACTCAATAATGTTTGCGCTTGTCTAACTATTTAACACAGAAAAATGGCTCAGCTGTTGATTTCTTGCTTGTCTCATCCATCTTATTGGAAAATACATTCACTAATATCTGGATAGATTTTGGTAGGGCTTTTATTTTCCACCTTGTGTCTGCACAGAGATATATTATGATGTCCTTTCACCTTCCTGCTCTTTTCCTGTAAGCTGCTAATTGGCCCTCTAAACCTGGCTCACCTCCAGGTGACCCTGCAGAGGCCCTGTGGCCGCTTTTAGATCATTCAGGGGATCTAAAAACATCCATGAAAAAGCTGATAGAACAGATTTTGCTGGAGGAAAAGGAAATTAGAAAATGGAAATGTGAGAGTGGAACGTTTGAATAACACTTTGATGGAAAGAGTGGTAACAAGTATGAATTGAGCCTGGGCACCCTGATGACAGTTGACCATATTCATACAGAAGCCTGTTTTCTATGATCTCACTGTCAGGATGTGAAGTTCAAAAGCTGTTATGTCTGTAAGCTGTATGGTAAATGGGGACTGGTAAATGGAGGTTAGCATTCAGCCACTTCCTGGCTAGTACGGCAGTCGGAGAAAAAAGTGGTTGAAATGCTAACCCTACTGCTTGGTAATATGATTGTTAACAATTTCAGAGCAAATGTTAATGTTTGCTAGTGACTTCTACCTCTAAGCTATATGTAACCCTAGCTTGGAAGCAGATGGATGCTAACAGGAGCTGCTGTCTAATGTTAGCTTATATTTGCTGTTTTTACTTGTAGTATAACCCAATGCCCTGCCAGGTTTTCAATATCCATAGTATTGTTTGTTGGGGATAAGTCTTTCAAGCAGTGGAGTGATTGCATTTTGCACATTTCGGAAACTAGCTAACTTCCTAGCACGCAGCAGTATTCACATATGAGCTAACTACAAAGAGCGGGATGAGAACAATGGTTGCTGTAAATATAGTGATTACTTTTTGTTTGTGTGAGTTCGCTGAAAAACAATCTACTCCGCAGAAGGAGTTGTGATGTGGTTGGCATCAACTGGATGCTCTTCATACTGACTGATTTCATGTGTTGTGAGCCAGCTTCAGTTAGCCTATATTCATTACGGCAGCCATATTGTTATGATGGTGAGTCTGTTGTCCGGAGGAATGTATTTGAATCATTTATCGCCGATTGCTTGATAAGTTGAAATAGTTTGCACATAGGATTTAGACTGTCTACTTTTCAATTAACCCCATTCACAGTTTTGTGAATAACTTTCTGTACCAGTAGACAATAAAATGCAACTGATTGTAATGGTATCCTATCTAATATTACCGTAATATAGTCTCGAACTGTGAGACTTACGCAAAGTTGTTTCCATATAAGGAAAGAGGAGATGGAAAAGGGAGGATACAGCTGTTTTAACAGTCTGCGAGTCACAGACATAAACGTGATCGACAGACCATTAGCAGATTTTTATACTGCAGCGTGGGGTTAATCTGACCTGTAAACTCAGAGGTTGCTGTGTTTCACTGTACCACAGTGAGGCTACTTCCATGCCTTGTACGGACTTCTCTCATTGCAAACATCAGTAATCAATTAATCTACCTCCTAAAGGATACTGTGCTGTTGGATATTGGCAGCCAGTGACTGTAGTATCATAGCAGAGGGTTGTGGCTTTTTTATAGGGACCATTTGTGGCTGTCTGGGTAAAGGGCAACAAGTGTTAGCTTTGCTTTTGGTCACCAAGGTCCTTGTTAAAATGGTATTTAATAAAAAAAAAAAGATTTTTGTGCCAGTGTATGTGTCACCTACCCCTCTTGTATTCTTGGCTGAGAAACTGTAGCTTACTGTGTCAGTCTGAGTGATGTTTTTAAGTGTGTCAAGGGAGATGTTTTTTGGAGTAGTTTGTTTGAAAAATGAGACTGTAATACTGAACTGAGAGATTTGCATTTTCTAATAGTTGCACTGTCTCTCTGAGCCAGCGATATACAAATATATTCAGTTACCAGTTTGCCCCTTGAAAATGACAAATTTGACACTTTTAGCTGCAAAAGACAAAGCACATTTCTTTTCTGATTATGAATACTTTCAGAGCTGAATAGTGGATGTCGCCACTTATTGTCTACTTACTTGTTCTAGTTCTACAATCTCCAAAACCTGCATTCAGGCCTCAGTTTCAAAGCAGCCAGTGTAATAGATAATGTACATTTTTCATTTCCCATCACTTGACATCCTGACATATTCGAACACTGTCCCAGAGCATTCAGAGACAAGCTCATTAAATGAGCCTCTGTCATGATGGTGATTGATGGATAACTTCTGCCTGGTGAGTGAGTTTTTGTCTGTCTCTTCATTATAGGTTGATGACAGGCAGAACCGTCAATTTTCTTAGACCCTCCACCTGCCTATACTCTGTCGTCCTGTGGTATGCGCTCTCACTTATATGGTTGTTGTGATGTCTTTGATGTCTGGTTTTACACATCCAGTGCTTATCTAAATATTTGGCTCACATGAACTATTTTGATGTGTATTTGCATCTGCCTAATGTGTTGCCTCCAGCTATATTATCCTCACTCCTTAAAATTTGAATATGACTTAAGTGCCGGGGATTAGATTAGACAGACTTCCTCTGAGATAGGAAGAGTGGGACGGTTTGGGGGGAGAGATTGAACTAGAGAGGACAACCAAATTTATCAGACTCTGAACCGACAATTTTGATTCAAAACGTTGGGCTCAGACTTTGTCTATACTGTTATAAGCAATTATTTTTGTAATGACTGTGCCACTGTCAAACCTGATTTGACGGTTCAGCTTTTACTTCTTGTTGCTTTATGTATTTCAGGGACACGCTAAACTCGAGTAAACATGAGTGTCATGTTTTACCTTTATAATGCACATTTATCAAAGATTGCCACAAACACCAGGTGCTGCATTGACTTCATTTTGTACTGCTTAAAATCTCAACACTGTATTATTAACAGTATTACTGGATCAGGACTGGTCATTAGGGGTTTGGGACATTAAAATCTCAAGGTACGGGTGTTCTGGTGAGGTTGTTTAATTCACTCTCATGCTAATAATCCTGTGAATAGAAAATAAAGATAAAGTTTTCAGCTACCTTAAAAGATTAAGTGCAGAGATGCTTCAGCAGTAAAATGTGAATCCAACCCGAGTCTTCTTGACTAATTAGATTTAAATCTTCCCTTTTTTAGGTGGAATACTTTTTTTTGCTTCAGCCTCTTGTGTGCGTATTTGAGTGTATAAACGGGTACAATCTTTAAAAAGTGTGTTGAGCTTTTGACTTTGTTCAGCAATGGAAACAATTTCCCATATCCTTGAGTCATTGTCTGTCCTGTGATCTCTGATGTTTTGTGTTTGTTAGGCACATGGTTTTATTAATCGATGAACTTCATGACTTTGAGAAACCTGGAAACCTCATGAACCCCCTTTTTTTGTGTGTGTGTTGATAATAAGATAGCAACATGCAATCAGACTCACATTAAGCTTATGAGGAGGACGTTTTTTTTTCCACATTCACTTCACAGCTGTAGACGTATATCCGCGGCCAAAGCCCTCATAAATGGAAACCTTTGTTGAAGAATGTCTCGTTTTTTTTTTCTTCTAATTGATCTTTGCAGCACGTGAGTCATGCGTAATGACATCCAGCTGGAGGTTGTTGCACGGTAACACAGAATGTACAAACACTCTTGCTTGGCCCATTCCGCTCTCCACCTTTCCCAGCCTCCCTTTCGCTCTCAGATGGATGGAGCAATTGACTTTTTTTTTTTTTTTTTTTAAACTCCTGGACGCCGTGTGTGGTCTTTGTAGCCTGATACTAGGACTGCTGTACCTGTGTGTCAGTTTCCTTTGACACTCCACATTCACATAACAAAAAAAAAGCATCCAGCAGCAGAATACCACAGCATTTTTGCTTTTGTCTTGTTTTATTTCTTAAACTCCTGTGCCATAAATTCCTTTTGTTTAGCCTGCTTCCTTGTTTTAGTGTTGGTCCGCCTCTAAACACCCTGTCCCTGTCCCCATAGACGTAATCCAGTGTCCTTTTCAGTCCATTCCTGTGCTGGGACGAGGCTAGATGCTAATGGTTGTCATTGTAAAGCTGGTTGTGAGAGCATCTGGCTGCACGAACAGCTGTTTGTCCTGGGTGGTTTTGGCATGCGTGGGGTGCGGTCCAGGGTCAAACCCCGTGTCACATTGTTCTGACCCAGTGTTCTTCTGCGGTGGCCCGGTCTCAGCCGGGGCCGACCGGCCTTAAAGTGTCCTAATTGCACGGTTGTGGCAAAAAAAAGGGAGGGAGCTGTGGATTTAGCATTGCAGGGAGATGGATGGAAAGGATGGATTTTGTTGCAGCGGGAACCCATGATCATGGTGATCTATAAATGGGCACATCTCTGTTTAGCGTCTAAATGGAAAACTGAATCTTCTCTGAACCACAACAGCCAAATCTCCTGCTGAGAACTAGACCCTCTGAGTCAGCAGAGGACAGAAAATGGAGGCAATGGTTTGAAAATGGGCCATAATTTCAGTTTATTTGATGAGCATAAATTCTAGGATGTTATATCTATAAAAGCATTGTATAAACCGTTTGATATAGGGGTTGGAAGATTTGTACTTTGCAGTTTAAATTTGAAAGGAATTTCAACCTGACATCCTTTTGTTCTTCTTCTTTTGTCTCTTTTCCCTCTCCATAGCGGAACCATCAGACCTCTTGAAGATTTTAGATTTTCACAGTTTACCCGAGGGTGTTACAAAAACGACGGGTTTGTGCTCACATAGGCGGTCAACACAAGGACCCGATGTGGCTTACAGAGTATCCAAAGACGCCCAGCTCAGCGCCCCCACCAAACAGCTGTATCCAGGTGAGTATCTGACGCAAATACCATCATGTCTTCTTCTTTGTTGAAGCACTCACTTTTTCTTCCTTGACATCAAACAAAGCACTGATGGAAATTAGAACCACCTAATTGCATTTTCCGACACAACACTTTAGTATTATCTCAGCAGATTCTTCTTCACCGTATTCAACTTTTCTTACATGTTGCCTCTGTTTCTGCCATCTGGTCTTCTCTTTGACTTTTCACCCCACATTGTTGTAAACTGTAGCATTACAACATTTGAACATAGCTGGAAAGCAATTTGTATTTGTTCCCACCTGGCCTGCTCCTTTCCTTTCCCTGGAGGTGGAACTTTTATTGGCTCCTGTAACTTGATTATGTATGTCAGCTCTATCTTTGGTTTATTAGATTTCAGGAAGGGTACGCCTGCTGTTTCATCCTCAAAGCCCCTGTTAACTTGTTTATCTTGTTACTAAAACATACTGTCTCCTTGCAGCTCCTCTTGTACAAATGTAAAATGTTGCGACTCACACATCAAACAATAAAGAAAAATAAGGCTCCTATCTAATGCGGCTTCAAAACCATCAGATGCATGAGAGTTCTAGCCCTGTAATATTTGATGCTGTGGAGGAGCCAGCCCATGGAAAATCTGTGAAAATAGGGGTTTTAGAGGGGAGGGAAGTCTGGGGTTCCACTTCTGCCTCGTTCTATTGTGCTGACGTGGCTTTGGGTTTCTGCGCTATGCTCTATGCTGCGCTGCAGTAGCACTTTCCTCCCTCTCCTCCCCTTCTCTCCCGGCAATCTTTCCTCCCTCCTTCTCTTTCTTTCTTTTCCCTCTAGCGCCATAATCTTTCCCTCTATGATTCCTCTGCTGCCCTGCAGTGTTTTCTCTTTGTGTTTCTTCTGTCTGTGGTGAGACATGCTCCCTTTTCTGTACTCTTCTTTCTTTTGTTGTTTTACAGTAGAAAATCTCGACACCATATTTCTGTGACCCCAGATGACCTATTTCTGAAATTACTGTGATTGGAGTCCTGCAGCTTCAAAAACGAAAGAAAGAAAGATGAAGAGCATGCATGGATGTGGTTTAGAAGCATAAAACAGGGAGAACTAGTAACCCTTCCTGTGAGTAAATCCCCTACAAAACTTGGATTGGATGACAGCCCCATTCATGGTCGTCTGAGGCGTTGCATTGGCCTTAGTGGACCTTTGATCCATGTCATGGCTCTTCTTTGGGGCTTAAAGTCAGCCTGCATGCCCTATCATGCTCTCCAATCAAACAAATACTCTTTACTTTGAAGCTCTGTGACAGCAGAGCCCTTATGAGTCTCCGTTTAGATACGCATGCTGTAATTACACACCAACTCTGTATCATCCAAAATAACAGTCCACATAAAACAAACCAGCTTGGAGGAGTTCATAGCAGGCACCACACAGTCTTTAGGTGCAAACAGAATAACTAGCCGTCTGTGGCTTGAAGGCCTTACAAAAAAGTCGAGGCGTCTGTGATGTGGTTGCTCTCTCGTCTCGACACTAACACAATGTACAGCTCATATATTCCGCATGGCAGCTAAACTTGTGAGCTCATTCTGGCCAACACTTTTTTTTCCTAGTTTAACTAACTTTTCTGCTGAGTTATGACTCTGGCACAGAGCCTGGAGGTACAATTTGCCTAAATTACCAGCACAGCATCCAGTCTCCCAAAGCTAACACAATGCTACAGATAGGCGTACAAACAAAGGCATACAAATGTCTTCTTTTATTATGACTGTAATTGTTGTAATAAAAACCGCAGAAGCTGGGATTGAGAAAACACTGGCCCGTGACCCTGTAACCACAGACAGTCTGTGATGATGTGTTGGAAAAGAACGTGTGCAGACATGCAATCATTAGGCAAACATGTGGAAGGGATGATTCATTTGAGACTGCGCTGCACACAGAAGAGTCCTTTCTTACCTTTTATTAAGTGAATGAGAAATGAAGGAACAGGGCATTAAAGCTGTCTGCCCTCATTTAACTTGTACCAAACACTTCCTGTGTCTCAGTAGTCTGTGTATGTCATCTCTATATCCTGACTAATCTGTGACAAAAAGCATCTATCATTGCACATATGCAGATTCAAAATGTGAGAAATATCGTCTTTACTGCGTATTAAGTTTTTCTCAATGATGCAGAACAAAATTTTTTGGCATCACAACAAGTTAATAATGTTTCTCTTACATTGTCACATGATTGGGTAAGCTGTTACTAGGCATTCATACTTGTGGTCTGGACTATTGTGGCTAGATGACACTGTCCAGTCAATGATGGCCTTAAGCTGACATCATCATGGTCCTCATAATCATTTATGTCGGTTTACTTTTTTAATCTTTGGAGAACACACTGAAGGAGAACACTTATACACATTGGTGCTGAGGTACAGGCAGCAATAGATCAGATTAGCAGAGGGAAATGGATCGATACAACAATATATTATCATCCTGACGTATAATATAATTATCGAAGAGCTGGTGCCTAATATTGATTTTTTAATTAGAAAAAAATACAGTGCTTCAAACAGATTTCCCAATTGGATTCACTGCATCATTACTTCATGACTCCTCACGGTGGCTCTGATGAAATGAATAAAACATAAACAGAAGTTTATTTGGCCAAAGAGGGAGTTGACAGCAGGATAAAATAATAATAAGATGGTGACAGCGAGATAATACTGGACAGTGGGGAAACGGAGCTAAAGGATTAGGCATGATGAGAGGGGAGACTAAATTGCTGTGAATAAATAGATTATCCCTGCGTTTATAAGGGGCATGTAGTATTTTTTTTTTTTTTAGTAAATCAGATATGGGGGTGTATCATTGCAAGATTTTCTTGCAATACATCAATTATCACAGAATGGCTAACCACTATCAAGGGTTAAGTATTGGGTCTTACATACTGTATCGTATCGTTAGGTATCGTATCGTTACATATTTTATCATTAGGTATTGTATTGTATTGTTACATACTGTATCGTATTGTATCGTTAGGTATCGTATCGTATCGTTACATATCGTATCGTTACATATCGTATTGTTACATATCGTATCGTTACATATCGTATCGTTACATATCGTATCGTTACATATCGTATCGTTACATATCGTATTGTTACATATCGTATTGTTACATATCGTATTGTTACATATCGTATCGTATCCGATGGTATCTTTAATTTTGTTTAGGTATCGTTACATATTGTATCATATTGTTTCGTTTCGTTTCGTATTGTATCATACAGTATTATAAAATATTGTGGATATGTGTATCATATCAAATCATGAGTTGCCCAGCAAATCCCAACCCGAGAGAAGATGCATCTAAAATGATTAAAAGGCCGGGGATAGCAATAAAAATAGACCAGGAAAGACATTATTTTAAAATACATGAGGCACTTAGTACTTAATAGTTTAGAAATAGCCATTTTGCACATGCATGCATGCATGCATGTACTATCATGTAGTTTGATGCAGAGGCCGACTCTATTTGAGGCTTTTAACTGTAGTGAATAAAGAGATTGTATGGATGCAAATACAAAGAAATACAAAAAGTATTTTTCTGAAAGAATACAAAATACAATCATGAAAAAAAGGATTGTAATTATCAAATTTAGCATGATTTTTTTCATCATCATAGTTGATACAGAAAATAACATCAGTCGTTTTTTCTCCAATGTCTCTGTACTAATCATTAAAAAGATGATATTGTGCTCTCCTCAGTGGTTTCATCCTCTCATTTCCTTGGAAGATGCAATTTATCACCTTAATATCATTTCATCTTTGGCCTCAATAAATGGATGGTGAGGTCATTACCAGAAGCTGGAGTAATGAGTTCTGAGGAATCAAAAAAGTTCTCCTGTTTATATTTCTTTGTACAAAATCCCTTAAAAAGTCATATCATTGAATGTAGCTCTTTATCTCTACATTTGGATGCAAAACAGGGACTCTGACTGTTCTAATGAACTTGTTTTTTTGGGGCTTTGAAAATCTAACAGTCCAACCTCGACACAAGTACATTCAGGGTCACTAACCTGCACAAAGGACACATAAAGAAAGAAATGAAGACAGATGATCTTCCTCTCTTTTGCAGTTGGTCTCTTTGTCCATGCTTTGCACTCCAACAGGTACAGGTACACTTGTTATCTGTGCCGCAATGTGCAATCCCACTGGAATGCTGCCTGCCTCATCTATAAGGAGGGATTCGGATGGGGTGATGACTGAATGACCAATTACAAGACTTTCTACTCCATTTACCTGCTTGTATGCATACTGACAGATGGAGAGATGATCTGCCAAAGTGCTGGCATAACTCCTGCTCCACCCTGACTTTTTTTTGGCGTTCCTCAGGGAGAGTCTTTAAATTAAAAAATGAGGCGTATATGTAGAATGCCAATAGGGTGAAATTGAAGACCTGGTGTAAACCACTATCTGCTCTAATGCTGCAGTCAGATCTCACACGGGAAAGTCAAAGATCAAAACTACAAGCCAGTAAATCACTCTTTTCCAAATGACAGGCGACTGTAAATGGTCATTTAATCTTAAGGAAATTGTTGGGTTGATTGGCTTGTTGAGATGTCTCCCAGACTTTATTTTTAGTCAGACTGATGGCGATGTTGAGTGTAAACTCGCAGGACTTCTGGCACCAAACAGCCTTTCCATTCCCACCATGCTCTTACGCACTCAAAATGAGGAGTGGGGTATCTCTCATCTGGTGGCCTGAAGTCGGGGTTTGAAAGACGCATTCCAGAGAAACCTGAGCTTTTTTTCTTGAACAACCCCTGTTCCTACTTTGCTATGAGGTCCTGAGGAGGAAGAGACAGAAGGGAGAACTCATTTGAACTATTTCTACTCTCATCCTTAATTTTGATCTTTCCTCCTCTTATTGAAGGCATTTTGGTCCTCAGGGAACATGTGGCTGCACTGCATGAACACAAACTCATGAATGAGAACCATAGCTGTGTAATTACTACTTAACTCCAGAGACAGTTTTATCCTGGTTGCAACAGGAGTACCTTGAATTTTTAAAATTAGCCATTTCAACCCCCCACCCCCTTCTGTGCCATGGTGTCCATTTTACCCCACAGCTGACCTGTGACCTCCACACACACAGCTTGTCCTGAGCCAGCGCTGAGTCATTGTCTCTGTGACAGACACGCAACCGGAAGTACTGACAAACGTTCTTTCAACTAGTTCTATCCTGTGGTATCCCTTCCCATCCTTTACTTGGCATCACAACACTTGATTTATAAAGCTAATATTCATCTGCCACTAAAACTCTTCCATGTAAGACTTTCTATGCTTTTTTTTCTTATATTCTCTCTCTTCTGTTATCCGCCTCACACCTTCTTTTTGAAGCATCTGTCAATTAAAGCGATGCTTCTCATATGATGCCAAGCTGAATTCCTGTGGGAGCACGCTGCCAAGACATGTGCTCTCCACATGATGAGATTTGATGCCTGGCATTAATGAAGGAATCGTAGAAGAAGGCAGGAGGACAAGGAAAGAAGGCAAACAGTCACCCAGACGGGAACCCGGTGAAAGTGTGTCGAATAAATGAAATAGGGGTCAATAGCAGAATCTGCTTTGGAGCTTCTCTCTTTTTATTTGGCTTCTCTTTTCCGCTATCTCTTCCTAACCTCAGGTTTCCGACGTATTCTCTTTGAGGCGTCTTTTTCTACACAGCTTCTGATTGGCTGCCTCAACCAAAGTCACTCCAGTCTAGCATTTTCCATCTATTATTCTGAAAATCATGGCAGAGAAAAAAGGGGGTTTTAATGGCTGCACGAGGTGCTACAAAACCACTGCAGCCACAAGCCCTGCCTCTCTTTTCCTGTCGTCTGGAAATCTCTGCTCTGAACTGCCTGAACAGCAAGACTCTGCTACTAGAATCTAGAGGGGTTTCTTTGCTTATGTTAGGACGAATCCAGATTGCTGGTATCTTATAACAATTGTGGTTTCTGTGAAAGTCACATTGTCTTTGCTTTTTTCCAAGCCTAAAAGATCAGAAAGCTTTGAGTGTAGTCTGACTTCCACATCAGAGCTCAAAAACCGTCTCCTCAGATGGCTGGAAAGGCCGCCCTCTTTCTGGGGTCCTGAGAACACCCCACTAAGGGAATCTGTCTGGCAGATGTGTCTCACATTGCAGCAAAATGCAGGAAATAGTTGAGACTGCTCAGTGGAAGCAGGCAGATGGAGGCAAACACGTCATTTTCAAACTGTTTTCTTTACCTTTTATGTGTTAAATTCCCAAATTCTTAACCTTTCTATACTTATACACTTGAACTCTTCCCCCTGTTCAGTTTTTTACTCCTTATTACATCTTTTTCAATCTCTACTGTCTTAGTGTCTGTTATGTAGATCAGCAATGGAAGAGGAACGACGTGGAGAAGAGAGGCTTGAAGGATAGTTCCAGAAACTCTCGCAGGATCACCTGCTTTTGTAATTATGTGTCTCATCCTGTGCTGCTGAAAGCTACTCTCTCTGCACTTCTGCTTCAGACTTTTCTTCCGATCCTTTTTACCTTTTGGCAAAGCACATTTCACTAATGTTTCCATTTGACACTCAGAGTCCATCTTTCAAAAACATCCAATCTAAATGACCAGTTTTGTGTTTGTTTAAACTTTTCTCTTCACGTATTATGCAGACTCCAAAAAGAACACTCAGTCTCCTAAAAATAATAAGGTTACAAAATCCTGAACACAAACATATTATTTCATTCCTCCTAGCGATGACGAATAGTTTCGGCGTACTTTTGACTCTCCAAACTGTTTCCTTCTCTGTCCAATCCACCATCCTCCCTGCCAGGTGATGTGTTCCCGGAGGACTTTTCCATCATGGCTACAGTGAAGCCGAAGAAGGGAAGCCAGTCCTTCCTCATGTCTGTGTACAATGAACAGGGAATCCAGCAGCTAGGACTTGAGGTGGGCCGATCTCCTGTGTTCCTGTACGAGGACCACTTGGGGAAACCCAGCCCTGAGGACTACCCACTTTTCAGAGGAGTCAATCTAGCTGACGGAAAGTAGGTGCACTCGTTGTGGGCTTTATGATCATCCATTGATCATTTTAAATACACTTCTATTCGTCAGTATAAGACTGTTTTTTTTTATTTTTGTGTCTGTCCCTTCAATCATGGGCCAGGTGGATTTGTGTGTTTGTTTGTGAAGCAACACTTGGCCAGTTTGGTTGTATTTTGGCACCCAAACTACTTGGTTAGGTTAAGGACAGAAGGTATTTGTTTTTGTATAAATGTATGATAAAATAACTATGTAGTGAAGTAACTAACCAGTGTTCATAGGTTTCCTAGGTTTCCAAATTATGTTACGCATCTCTAGAATATACATTTATTTCAGGGCCGTCTGCATTAACTAGTTAATCACGATTAATAAATAAAATGTTTGACAAGGTCTTTTTTCTTGACCCATTAACCTCCCCCAACATCCAACCCAAGCAGACTTTTGTGATCTTCATTCGACATAACTGGCTTTGACGCCACCCAAACAATAAGCTAGACAGGTACTTAGAGTATCATATTTTGATGTGTTGGGCCGCCAACCAAGCTGCCAAATATGAAGAGTGATAACAGGCTAGCATTGTTGTGTCTCCAAATTTGCATATTTTGCTAACCAGCACAGCATAGAATTTCTTTGTACCACCAAAATATGTGATTTAAGGGAGTCAAATGTGATTCTAATTCTCTCCACATAACAGAATGGGTTGAATTTGAATGAAAGTCCCAACACAATAGGGGCACTAAGCAGAATGTTAAGCAAGTAGCATGTAACCCAGTACGTGTGTGAATGAACAGCATCTACCTTTTTTTCTTTTCGTTTTTTTTTACAGATGGCATCGAGTGGCCATCAGTGTGCACAAGCAGACCATCACCCTCATTCTGGACTGTAAAAAGAAGACCACCCAGAAGCTGCTCCGAAGCCCAAACCCCATCATCGATACCAAGGGAATTATAGTGTTTGGAACAAGGATACTTGATGAAGAAGTCTTTGAGGTAGGAGTTGTACTTGAACTCATAATCTACAGTAGTTTGATTTATTTTTAATGCAATTTATTACAGTTTTGGACCATTTAGGATCATTTGTATGTTTCAGTGTTTAAACTGGGTCCAATTGGTACTTTTGTAACTCTACATGCAATTATCGGTTAAAGGGAATGGGTACACTGATTTATAGGTTTGACTTGGATGCAATTGCAATTTTTAAGGTTTTACTAAACAAGTCCAAGGCCAACTTGATTTTGATTTAAGATTCTCCAGCCAATAAGATAAAGGCAAATGAGCTCCTCTGCTAAGATTACAGTACAGACACATGTGGCGGTGGTTCAAATAATGGTCATCCCCAAAGCCTAACTTTGAGTGTGTCATTGGTATGGTGATAGTGGTGGTCACCACATCCTCCATCCACAACATCTGATTCCCAATGATTCTGCCACCCAGCGTACACACACAATCACAAATCAAATTAACTGCAATGTGACATGTATTCCAAATACTCCACATAAAAAAACAAATGTCCTCCAATTCTGTTCCAAATCTCAAACTGTGCTGCATTTGTTTGCTGTTCAAGTCTGCATCTGTTATTTTGTGTTGTTACTATTCTGTAGTTTGGCCTCAATGTGGCTACTATTGCTTAATCCTAAAAGTAGGATTTCTCTGTGTGGTTTCACGTCTGGATTGTCTTTCTGAAAAGGCTGCAACAATTTTGTTTACAGAGGTTTTTTACAAGCACTGACAGGTTTTCATTATTAGAATGAGGGCTTTACTTCTTCCTTCCTCCTCTTTTTATGTGCACAAAAGCTTTGTGACTGAAGATGAAAGATGAATGTTAGTCTGACTAATAACAGGAGGATTTTTGTGGGGGTTTTTCTACCACCTGGAGACACTTGATTTGAATCACAACCTGAGATACTTCTCGTTTCTCACTGAATTAGTTAGGAGGAGGATGGTGCCTAAAATGGGCTTTTGTGCCTCCTAAACATGACCCTTGTGAGGGACACACACACAGAGAGGCACAAGGCACAAGGAATAGTGTTGTCTTTGTCCTGTCAGAGTTGTGCTTGTTTAAAGGGGGATTAGTCTGTGAGGCTGAGGCCCTCAATAATAATTAGTAACAGAGGCTGACTGATGTGACTGATGCTGAGCCAGCTGACCTTTAGCCTCACTGCTGCTCAACGGGAACAGACAAAAAGAATGAAATATGACATCACCTCCCCAAAAGTTTGTCTGCAGAGCTATAGGAGCAAGAGGAGATATATGATGGGGTGTAAACACAAAATGTATTCTTAACCATTTTCAGCTGTAAAACCAAAGCCTGCTTCTTTTTAAAAATCTAAATCACAAGAAAGAAAAATATAGTAGTGGCATACTATAGATTTATGCTTTTATTTTTGTAAAAGCTTACGATGATGTTCAAGTAAAGTACAGTTCTATATTACAAAGAATGTGTAGTAAATTAATTAATTTAGATTGTTACTGACTCTAAGTACAGTATATTTACACTGTTTCATGCTTGTGGCTAGACACATTTCATATCCATGATGCAACTTTGACTAGTAGCAATTACAATTTTAACATGTCAAGCCAGCAATTTCTTTCTCAACACTTAAAATGTTAATGTTGATTTCCATCATTAATTTATTTTTCAGTTAACAAGTCCCTTATGGAAATCTGAAACTCAATAACAACTGTTCTACTTTAAGCCTTGATTTGAGTCAAAATATGAATTATTGCTATCAACATTTGATTTCTTATTAGTTGAAAGTTTGTCAAAAGCATATCTTTGTCTGGACAACAAAAAGTCATCAGAACCACTGTAACTGACTGTTTGTTACCGTGGGAACAGACAGATATTTAGTGAGAGATGTTTAAAGGCCTCCTGCTGTGTGTCTGCCAGTAGGGAGACAGGACAGGCTCCAGTGAGTGCAGAAAATGGAAAATATGCCACATAGTTTCCAAATTGTGCTCATGGCTGTTCCTTCTCATACTGCCCTCTTCTCCCCCCCCCCCCCAAAGTTAAATTCGATGCTGTGTTGACTTTTGCCAGAGTCGGTTACCACGAAAGGTGTTGAGCATGAAAAACACATTTGATTTCACTGACGGGTCAATTAATTCAGTTTGGCCTGCAGGCTCTCATCAGAAAAACAACGTGTCAAATGAGGAAACAAAAAAAAGAGAAATGGCACTTCGAAATTTAGAACTGATTCTGAGATAATTCATCAGATTTCGCCAAAGTTTTCCTCCAGAGTAAAGGTGAATTTATGTGTATCATAAGCAAGATTGTTTAGTGAGAATTAAAGAGATAATCAATGTTGAGAGCGTTTGATAAAGTAAAGGAAATATACAAATACTCACATCTTCACGGAAGAGTAAAAGGGCCGGACATTTTTCCTTTTTCATGAAGATACGAAGTTTTGAATTATGCCGGAAATGAGTGGAAATGTTGAGAATATTTTGTAATGGTAATTGTCTTTCACATCTTTTGAAATATACACTTCCTTTGCCTGTATGCTTCTCGAGCGAAGCTTGGGTTCATTCTTTCCATACAGCAGACAGGAGGCAGTTACTGTAAGCTGAGGTGGTTTGTGGTTTGGTTTCTAGCATGGTTATTGTGGTCACACAGAGAGTCTTTGCCCTCTAAAACTGCCAGAGTGTTGTTTTTTTGCTTAGTAGCTTGAATAAGGGTACTGTAGTGTGTGCCAGAGAAGACTATGAAGGCAATTAAGGTGATGATTATCTAAGAGAAGACAGGTACTTTACCTGCTAATCAATGCTCATTTGTTGCATTTGAAACAGTAATTACTCCATCAGAATGACTGTAATGTTCCTGTTAAAATCAGTCATTATCTTCAGTGAAGTCAAGTTCATGACTTTTTCTTGATGTTGATAAAAGCAGTTGTTCTGGGTTGTTCTTATTCTCTGTCTTCAAGGCGGTAAGGCTTGCATGACCCACTCCATCTGCAGAATGTATCGCCTGTTTTTTCGTGTTCACTGCTGCTTCCCTCCCAGTGAGTTTGCCAAGAATAACCAGAGATAATTTAATGCTCATCCATTTGCTCTTGGTAGCGTTCAGTGAAACAAATGGCTGTGGTGGGTCTCAGGGAACACAAACAGGACAGACGGCTCACTTGGCCTCACTCAGAGGTAATCCGCAGGGGACCTTGAGGTGGATCTCTGCAAACACAGCAGTTCTTGTTCGGGCCTCCATTGTTGCAGAAAAAAAGCTGAGTGAATGCATCCTTGTCCAGTATAAAAAGTGGGTCATCATATAGTGTCATTTTGTGCACGAGATGTTGCCCATGTTTCCCCCAATTTTCGATACCTCACATTAATGTAATGGCTGAACTGAGTTTGCAACATTGAGACTGAAGCATTGTACACTACTCAGGTCCTAGATTAACTTTCAGGTCATTCTAGTGTAAAATATTTCCACATTGCTTAACTTATCCAAGCTTTGAACGTTGTTTTTCATTAGCTCTGTAAAGTCATTTTCTATTGTCTTGTGTTACATTCATAGAAATAAGCTCTTCTAAATCTGTGTTTACCTTTGGCTAAAGTAACTGTTTTTTCGAGCTGAGAGACAAAAATGGCAGCGTTGAAGTTATTTCCTATAATTGTTTTGCTATTGGAATGATTTTGGTTTTTCCCATAAAGGAAAGAATTTGACATTCTACAGAGAAGAAAGAGCAGAGTAGATTGGAAGGAGTATTTTGGTGTTGCGAAAACATGGATTCAGTGATTGAGAGTGTGTGGAGGAGTGGCGGAGAATCTGGAGCTGTAGGTTTTGGTTTGTGGAGCCAAACCTTTGGGTCATACTCTGGAAAGAATGAGGAGCTCTCTCTCCCCTCTGATGTCAGTCTTGGAACAGCAGGCACACCACATGACATCATCCAGAGGTTTCCTTGGTATCCCCTGATAGGCTGCTGGTCTGAACTAGGTGAGGGGTTGGGATTTGTGTGGGGGCGAGGGGTGATGAGTAGGGTAGGATAGGTAAGAAGCGGTGATGGGCTTGAGAGGGGGTTAAGAGATACTGAATATAGGATCAGAGATGGAATGAGTGTGGGAGTCATTATGATAAGAGTAGCAGTGCTTGGATGAAGTGAGCTGTGGGGCTCCCATGGTGCAACCAGTGCCAGGAAAAAGTAGTAAAAACATGCAACACTAGAGCTTAATGCTCGTCCAGGGCTTTGATATTGTGATGGCATGATGAGATTTACGCATCCTGTTTTCTCAACTTCAGCTCATGAGTTTTCCTGATGTTTGCTCGGCACCCGCTAATTTATATACTGTTTATGTGCTCCAGTAATCTAAGGTAAAGACGTGTTAACCTCTAAAGGGATTCATGATTTACAACTGTTTGTAAAAAGTATGTGTATTGACATAAATCTGGCTATACCATACAGTATGTATCATGATATATCCATATACAGGGGTTCTGATTCAGTATATTGAGATCCCTATTATATTTTGAGAGTTTTTAAATACTATATTCTAAAATGTAATTTTGGAGACAGCAGAAAATAAACACCCCCCCAAAAGGAACATATAAAAACGTTTTAATAAATGCTGATTAATAACTTTGATTCCGCTGGCAACACTTATCAAGTGGTATCAACACTTATAGAATATATTTTGTCCAGTTTTAGCCCATTTTGGCCCAATGTCTGAGGCAGAAGTTAACCTACTTTTACAGATTTTCCCAGGTCCCACTGCATAATTTGCTTCACTCAAGATGGAGTCGTTAGCGTCACAGCGCAACAATAATATGGACCTACTGTAGATCATAGCTTATCTTGTGGAGCCCTGGAAGTTTGATAGCCTGGTTGGGTCTTCATGACTGGACTGCTTTAGAAATGTGGCCCTGTTTCCAAAAAGCACCAAAATTAATTTTACAGTTCTAAAAAGTAGGGAAATTGCTCTTCTGTTAGGAGTTGCAGTTGTTTCGGATCCAATAAGATAGATTACTATAAACATATTGAGCATTTTGAACACAAATA